GGGAGGAGCCTCAGTATGTGGCACTGAAGCAAGCCTTCACCTCCAGTGATGACAAGAGGGAGGTAATGCCTGTTTGCATTGTTACTGTGAGTCATATAATAATAAAAGTCTAACTAATAACTGATTATGTGTAATAGGAACTGAGAAGGTGCTACCCTAATCCACCAGGCTCCTGTACCCAGACTTCCAGCCATCCTAATAATGAAAAAATTAATTGTTAGTATGATTGTAAATTTAGCTTTTTCCATTATACATGTAATTCCTTTTCTTAAATACGTCCAAGCCTGTATAACTTGTGGGCTCACAACAATCACCTACGTATCATGCATACAATCAAAAATCTTACCTCAACACTTCAAAATTTACTAAATGTAGCAAGAAACAATGACATCAATAACAGTTGCAAGTATACTTCAATGGTCTTCCTGTTCATCATCTAACTCATCTACCCCATCGCCATTCAGAAAAATGTCTTCATCATCATCATCAAGAACCTCACAAATTGACACTTCGTCAACTGTTTCATTAGGCCTACAGTTGATCCATTATTACACTAAATGATGAGTAAAATTTACTTAAATTACCTTATGTCTACTTAATTTTTCTGCAAATATACCTTCCACACATTATGAGCAAAGTCTTCTCAACTAACGTCTTGAATGGTGTATGCCTATCTGGTCTTCCAATGTCAAAGATATGTCGCTCAATCGTATGTGGTCTTTTGACATTTTTGTTACATGAATGTCACTTTTAGAACAGTATTAGTATATACCAGTCTTACTCAATCCATAACTGCTATATTGATTGTCATTCTGAAGGTTGTAGTACCAAAATGAATCCTTTTTGGGAGATAAGTGAGTAGATGACGCTTGAAAGACTCCATCCAAAATGTATCCAGACACTGTAAAACATTATAAGTAATGTAGTCTAAAGGCACTTACCAAACAGTAAGTATGATTCAGCATTTACATATATCAAGGTTTGCTTTAACTTCATAGTGTGTGCTTCGACTGCATTGGGGTCAATTATTAGCTTGTTTGATGGTGCATACCCAGGATGTCTACAGCTGGAGGACTGATTAACAGTTGGAGTGATTACCGTATCACATACATTCATATATGAACATACTAGTACTGAAAATATCTAACTTGATAATGATCAACAATATTTGGTACTGAGTGTTGCAGATTCTCTGGAGGCTTATTGCAGTTATTCATACTGTAGTACAGATGTGTCTTCGTACTCTTTCTTATGATACATGTAATCATATCATTTTCCATTGCCCCTTACTCTTACCTGACAGTTCTGGATACCAAGTTATACCTGCCCTTTTCTTTGCTCTTGCTTCTACAGATGTCATTGCTTTCGCTACATTCTTAGTCCTTACAAGCATATAGAAAGAAAAAAGTACAAAAAGCTACTTACCATGCCATGAGTTTTTTTAGCTTTAACTCTTCAACAATATATGATGTTACAGGCGGTGAATTGTCATGAGCTACCTCTGTAACATTCAATCCTTTTTTCAGATTTGATTAAACAATTCATTCACTTCTTTCAGTACCTTTTGATATTACTAATGGCAATACATCCTTAGTATGGGCAAGCTCCCTTGTCTGTGTTCAAGTGTGTTCCTTTCTGGAAATTGTCACACAGCCTACAATCTGTGGATACTGAAAAATGAATGTACAAAGTGAAGTAAAATACATTACAAATACAAGTACCTTCCAGAAAGACACGGCATAGTTGTATGGTAGGCATTAGCACTTCAGTTATGCCTAGCATCAGTGAAGACCCACTACAATGAATTTAACAATTTACTGTTATGAATATACTACTGTACCTCCCATCAGTCTCATATTCAGAGGTTGACTTGATTTCATCAATTGCCTTCATCATTGATACTTCAGCACAACTTTCAATAGCAGCGACATACCCCTTTGACTTATATTACAAGTAAATAAAAAAAATTTCT